GTTCCTATGGCTGGAAGTGCCCAGTCCTGGTTCTGCAGCAGCCCCTTCCCACCAGTCCTACATCCCGCAGCCCGACACCCTCTGAAGCCGAGAGGCCCATGCCATAGATCCAGCAGAACTGGGGGTGGGAGGGCATGGAGGGGCCTGAGCAGAGATCAGAGGGGCCTAGGGCAAGAAGTGCCCCATCTACGCCCTGCCGTGGAGCACCAGGATGCCATGTACAGGTAGTTCAGGCTACAGGATCCCTGTAACAATCAAGTCAAGAGGGGCTGCCCTCCTAAAGAAAGCTGCCTTCCTTTAGGTGCCTCTGGCTCAGGCTGTGCTCCCCAGAGGGAGTGGATCTTCAGCTGCTTGGCCATTAGTCCTGGTTTTACCCCACTGCACAGGTCCATCAGGGATTACACCTGCCTTACCCAGCCCTGACCACATGGCACTGGCCCCAGGGTGCATGCCTTCCCATCGCTAGCCCTTCTCTAAAAAGCCGCACAGAAGCTCCTCCTGGCTAGCCAGAGCAGCGTGGGTATGCAGAGCCCAGCTCAGGAGCTGGGGACAGGAACTAAAGCCTCCTCCAGTCCCCAAAGCCTCTGGGTGAGGTTAGTTGCTAGACAATTAGCAGAGGGAGCCAGCACAGGCAGGAAAGTCGTGTCCTTGATTGAGAGCAGGGCTAATGGCTGCAGGGCTTATGAGACTTTGAGCCTTACAGCCAGGGCTGGAGGGTCTTATCTGGCTTCAGGGGAAATCGGGTCTGCTCAGCACCCTCAGGACGAGGAGGAGAAGAGGGATGCTAGGAATGCAATCGCTCCTCAGATTACTTGCAGCTTTCCCACCTCCTAGGTAGACAGCAACCCCCAAACCCACCCAAGGGCATCCAGATACACAAAGCAGCCCCTAGAGAAGCATTAAGCCAGCGTCTCTGCAGCCAGCCTGTAGCACAGACCTAGCATTTACCTTGGGTAGCAAGCAGCTGCGCTCATCCTCTTCCACGGTCACCCCCTCAAGGGAAACCTCCTGCTCACCGGTGCCGGGGCCCTTGAAGAGCCTGCCTCGCATTGCTTCCAGCCTGTGCTTGAATTTCATCCTGCTGCTTTTTTCCCAGGCCTGGTCAGCAAGAAGCCCGCACAAGGAACAGGGTGGGAGCAGAGGCAGGGGAGCCCGGGGGCTGAGCAGATATCTCGATCATGCTGGAATCATGTGAGAAGTCACATTTCACAGCTTAAATAGGCCCCAGCACCTCTGGACCAATTCTGGCTCTCTGCAGCTGGGCGTAGTTCAGGGCTATCTGCCCAAATGGCTGCAAAGAGAAAGGGAGCCTTGGTGTGGCGGTGGTTTCTAATTAGCCATCCCCAGGGGCTGCTCGCAGCTCAGAGCTGTACCTCGCTGCCCCAAAAATCTGCTCCCACAGCTTAGCCCTGCTTTGGGTTTCCCTCATGGCTCCGGGTAAACATTTTTAAAAGGGCCTAGGTGATTTAGGAACCCATTTCCAAAAGCAGAGCTCCTGGGGCTATTTTCAAAGGTGCAAACAGCAGGCAGACCCTCTGCCAGGTGAAGGGGATACGTAAGAAATGCCACACTGGGGCAAATACGGGATATAAATAACAATGATGGAGGTCAGGTCTCTAATTCCCTCGAGCTCCTTTGAAGATCCCCACTCTTGCTTACTCAGAGTAATATTTCTGCCGTGACAGCCTGATTCCCAGCTGCAAAGTGCCAGGGATCACGTACCATTGACTCCCAGTAAGATTTAAGCCAGGCATTTCTGGAAGCGGGACTTGGGCTCCTATATCATTTAGGAGCTTCTGGAAATGCTGCCCTGGGTCTCCCCAAGCACCAGTGTAGAGACACCCCCAATTAAAGTGTCTCATGGAGGCTTCAGTTTTCTCCTCCTTCAGTTGCAGCCTGGGGTACCCAAAGCCATGGTCTCCATGCTGCCTTGTGTCCATCAGGGTCTTGGCTCTGTTATCCTCAGTCCTCCTTTATTTGGCATAGGCGGCTTTTCTGGGCCCTTCCTCTTTGCGTGACACCTGCTTCATCTGCAGCAGCTCCTCAGCCATACAGCCTCCATCCACCTTCCCCCGCATGTCCATGCCTGTCAATACACTCCCAGGGTTGTTATTTGGGAGACTGCTCATAGTTCCTCCTTGCATGCCCCATCCAGCTTCCTCCACCTCTCTTGGCATGCACATTGCACAGGCATTTAATTTTTAATCCGTTTGCATCTTTTTCTGTTTACACCCTGTATTGGGAGCTACTAGCTATGTGCAGGCCTTCTTGCTGCTGATCCTTCACCTTGCATGGCACCCCTCGTCCAGCAGACCCCGGGTGTTCCCTACGTGGATGCCATGCCTTGCTTCTCCTGGGTCCTACTCCTTTGACATCTCTTTGTCAGGGAACAGGGGTGCTGATAACGAGACGTTTCTGCCCACGTTCGTCGATTCTCTCTCCACCTGTATTTCCACAGCCCCTGACTGCAGCAGGAGCTGCATGGCAGGTGATTGCTCTGCCTAGCATGCAGTGATCTCGTTGTAGTCTGGTGTCCTCTTCTGATGCTTTCTTCTCCCTCGGGCTCTCTTGGGACCCAGTCAGATGCTTTTTCTAGCTCTACAAAGACCACAGTGATAGAGCAATTTGACTACTGGGTCCTGTACGCTATGTTTTAACTCTGCCCTCAATTCCTTTGAACCCAGGTAGCACCTGTTGCCCCGTACAATTCCTCCTGCCTGCACAAATCCAGACGTCCTCCTGCCTGCACATCGACCCAGGAGGATGGGTTGATGCTGAGGGAACTTGCTAGCTGGAGGAAACCTTATTGCTTCAGCTAGCCGCTATTGCAGATCAGCAGGGAGAAGGGTGATGTCTTCTGTGCTCCTTGCCTGCTCCCCCTTTCATGGATGAACATGGGGGGCTCGCCAGGCTGCTGAGGACTAGGTTCACAACCGTGGCTCAGGAGTGGCGACACCGGTGTGGCCCAAGGGACTTAGGGACTGTGCCGTTGGCACTA